GTGTATGTGAGTGTGTAAGCATGTGGATGAGAGTATGTGTGTGTGAGTGTGGAAGCATGTGCTTTGTGTGTGTATGTGAGTGTGGAAGCATGTGGGTGAGAGTATTTGTGTGTGAGTGTGAAAGCATGTAGTATGTGCACGTAAGCATGTGGGCGAGAGTATGTGTGTGTGAGTGTGTGTGTGTGTGTGTAAACATGTGGGTGAGAGTATGTGTGGGTAAATTGCAGCTGCTGGCAATTTAAAGGGGTTTCCACGTGTGCCTTTTAAAGGCAGTGTGGGCAGTCCAGTCCCCTTCAAACATCCTCTTTAGATACAGTGATTGCCGGGTGGAATTTCCTGCCTGACCTTCAAATTTGATCAACACGTTGTTTTCTGTATCAGTCACAAATCAGAAACATACAGTAATCTTTCTGATGATCTGAACTCTAGAAGCTTCTCTGAACACTCTAACACTCACAGAAGATCAGGGGTGCAACGTTCGATTGACACAGATAAGGCCACGAGTTTCTAATAATAGAAATTATGAATATACTCTAATGTATAGTACAATATACAATATATAATATAAAATGAGTACAATCCAAACTCTGCACATTCACTGTTGGCATTGGGACACAACTGAATGAATTATTTCCATTATTTTAGGCTACTCAATATTTGCTAGGGGGAAGGTCCAGCACATGGAAGAGGCGAGTGACCCAAAATAGAAATGAGGCTCTAGTGTAGGAGTGTCACATTGCTGTGTGGAAGAGACCAGTAATATACTTTGAAGGCAATTCCTTTGTGTTTTGAATGCCTTACACAGTCTTTACTTTCTGTATGTGAAAATGTAATTGTACAAAGCAGCAACTATTACAGGGAGACTCAGTGCTTAACAGCTGGAAGACGAAAAGAAAGATAAATTGTGAATACATTCAAAGTTATCTATTAGATATTGTAACGCTTACGGCCGACAAGCACTGTGTAAGAGCCGGCGTACCAGAGCAGGTGATGTCACCGCCCTTCCCTGTGATAGCAGGACTACAGTTACTGAGTTCAGATCATCAGAAAGCTTACTGTATGTTTCTGATTTGTGACTGATACAGAAAACAACGTGTTGATCAAATTTGAAGGTCAGGCAGGAAATTCCACCCGGCAATCACTGTAGAGGCTGTAGAGAGATCGCTCTTTAGCTCACGTGGCTAGGTCACTGCAGAGAGACACGGGAGTCCCGGGTTCGAGCCTCCAGTCGGGATGGGGCCGACCAGATGCGGCAAGGGCGCCCGCCTGAGCCCCCGTTACGTTATAATATTTAACTTCGCACCCTGTGGAACATTTTTTTCTCCTTGCTGAATCGAGCGTTACAGCTGAGCTTAAAGCGGAGGCGGGTGGTAACTCACTGCGCACACGAAACACTCGGTGTGCCAGGTGCCGTTGGCAGCCGACAGGTAGTTCTCCCTCACTGGATCCCCACAGCCAGAGCATTTCGGCGCATAGAGGCGGTAAAAATCTGCGTGGCAGTACGGCTTGCCCTCACGCTCCAGGAAACCTAAAAAAACACGCCACATGGGGGGGGATGGATCAGGAGGGTGCTCGGGCTGGAAAACGCGCCGGATTTCTGTGATTCGCACTCAGTGAATGTGACTCAAACACAAAGACAACCTCATTAAATCACTAAGTTACAGCGGTGTAGCCGCTATATTCCAGACATAGAATATATTCTGTTATATATAATACATTATTATTATATGTATTATTATTATTATTATTATTATTATTATTATTATTATTATTATTATTATTATTATTATTATTATTTTATTATAATAAATATTTTCGCCCGGTGCGATTGACTGATGTGCCGTCCACGGTGTACCCTGCCTTGCGCTTGTTGCTTGACGGGAGAGGCAAAGGCTCTCCCGAATTGGAAAAAAAGGTTACAAAATGTTTGGACAGATTTTCTGCCTGGTATAGTAAACTAGTGATAGCCAAACTGAACTTGTACTAAAAACTTCATTTAATGGGAGTCAAGGCATCCTGGTGGTACAGGCGGCTGACCTGTGAGATGAGTCAATCAAGCATAGATCTCCATCTAAAGGTCTTGATCCAAGGTACAGTACTAACCAGGGAGATCAAACATAATGAATTAATTTAATTTTCAAACTGATTTTAGAACTGGGTGGTTTTAGTGACCACTATGAGGTTTCCTCTTCCTATATTTAT